CTAATCAAGGAGAGAAGCAACCTAGAACTAAGGAGAAACTTCCTGACAGTTAGAACAATTAACCAGTGGAACAACCTGCCTCCAGAAGTGGTGAATGCTCTAACACTGGAAGTTTTTAAGAAGAGACTGGACAGCCATTTGTCTGAAATGGTATAGGGTTTCCTGCCTGAGCAGGGGGTTGGACTAGATGACCTCCAAGATCCCTTCCAACTTTATTATTATTAAAATATTTCTTTAGGTGAAACCAGCATCCAGGATTGGCAAGATACGATCCGCCACTATCCTGCTCCCTGGGCGGAACTGGAAATCGAGAATATTATTCTCACGCTGCCCTCAGACGCTGTACGTAGTCATGCTAGAATTGACTTCCTGCTCCAGACCTGGGATCAGATGATGAGGGCCATCGCCCACTTAGCAGCCATCCCTCCTATTTTTCCCAGGCCAGAGAGGATTGTGGCAGATGTTCAGATATCAGCAGGCAAGTATAAACTAATTCACGTCATACGTTATGGAGGAAAAACCGTAAAATATTATTGGTCTGCTTCCCTAATTTACCACTCAAAATGTGTTATAATAGAATTATTGTACTAATAGTTCCTCAGTGCACTGCAGCAAACTCGCAAGTGCACCATGGGATATTTTATTATTTAATCAATGGAATTATAAAGATCATTTATTGAAATTTAGTAAAATATCTCACCGTTCTTCTGCAAGATCTCTGCATTGCCCTGGGTCACTACAGCATAGTTTGTAAATCACCAAGAACATCATGAAAAAGTACTGAGATATTAAGGGCATCATGAACTGAGAAAATTTGGGAACCCCTGGTTTTTTTGGGGGGGGGATACCGACATCCATGTGTTGTGATTCCTCACCAGCCAGTGGATCTGGCAGCTGAGTCTGAGGAATCAGAGGAGGAGGGGCATGGAGTCAGAGGAAGGCTCTGAGGAGCTCCAAGACTTACAGTCAGACGAGGAGCCTGGCCCCTCTACTCGTGCTCAGGCTGAGACACAGCTGTGCTGGGAGCCTGAGTTGGACAGTGATGAAGAACAGTTGGGACAAATCCCGGATACACGAATGCGCAGGCAAGAGAAGCGAGTAGGACAGAGGAATGCAATGGGGCGGCTCCAAAGGCAAAGGAGAAGGCATTAGGAAGCCATGCCTTGGCTGAATTATAAAAGGGAAGGTGTGGGAGATGCTGGTTGCCAAAGGCAACCGATTGTGTTGAGGATCGAGTTTCTGTGGACTGTGTTTGTTTGCCTTAAATGAGGCAGAGATGAGCACCACACTCAGTGGTGGGATGCAAATATGTGAACAACCGGTTCTCTGTGTGTGGATGCCACTTTCAGAAGTCCATTCCAGGCCTGGGCAACAAAAAATTAGCTACCAGTTCTGCCGAAGTGGTACGAATCGGCTGAATCCCACCACTGACTGCATCCTAGAGTCAGCCATATTCACAGGAAGCCCTGTGTCTTGAACTTCAAAAGAGCTGACTTTAAAAAACTCAGAGAGAACCTAGGAAAGATCCCATGGATGAAAATCCTAAAGGGGAAAACAACCCAAGAAGCATGGGAAACTCTGAAAAATGTGATCATAAAAGCCCAGATCAGCACAATACCACTGAAAAAGAAAAGCAAGAAATTCAGGAAGAAACCAGCATGGCTGCACAAACTGACAAACTGAAAGACAAAAAGGACAAATACAAAAAATGAAAAGAGGGGCACATAACTAAGGCCGATTATCAGCAGACAGCCAGAACATGCAAAGATGAAGTCAGGAAAGCAAAGGCTCAGAACAAACAAATACTTGCAACAGAAATCATGGATAATAAGAAAAGTTTCTTCCAACATATTAACAACAAGAAAAAAGTCAAGGAAACTGTAGGTCCACTAAAGAGAGAACACAAGAGCAACCCAAGTGCAGTAATTATTATTATTTTTCTTTCTTCCTCTCTTCTCTCTCTTTCTGAGACGGTTTTAAAGAGAAAAAGAAATTGCAGGCAGAAATACCTGCAGGGAGCAGTCAAAACCTACAGTAAACTGAACCGTTGCAATGCATTTTGCTTCTTTTCCATATCTGTCCAGACATTACAGTATATGTACAGAAATGGAAGCCCAAGACTTAATGGCACTTCCTTTTGTTATCATTTTGTCGAAAAACTCTGATTATGCAGAGGTCTCTGGCTGCAGGCCACAGATAGATAAGTATTTTCAGAAATTGAAGTGATTTTTTTTTTCCAGAGGATGCTTGAAAGTAGAACAAATGCCAAAAAGCAGTTAGTTCTGGGCTAAAGCTTGTTCACCCAATCTTATTTTTTTTGTCTCTACAATGAGGGAATCTATCTAATTATATCCCTCCCAACTCTTTCCTTAGGTTGGATGCACGCTGGCTATCCAGTCATGAGTAATGTGGGGGCCCTACCGGAGATCATAGATGTGCAAGCTTTCCACACCAAAGGAACCTGGGGCCCAATCCATGAGTTGGGTCACAACCAGCAGAAAAGCGGGTGGAATTTCTCACCCCATACCACGGAAGCCACCTGCAACCTCTGGTCTGTTTATGTTAATGAGACCGTGCTGAGCATCTCCCGAGAAATAGCCCATCCAGAGCTTCTACCGGATGCAAGAAGAGAGAGGATTGAGACCTACATTAGAAACGGAGCTAATCTGGAGGACTTTGAAGTGTTCATGGCACTTGAACCCTATTTGCAGGTAAAAAACTGTTAATGGGAGGTCCCTGGTATAATACAGACAGTCCTTGACTTACAGCAGTTCATTTAGTGGCCGTTTGAAGTTACATCGGCACTGAAAAAAGCAGCATATGATTGCTTTTCACGCTTACGGCTGTTGCAGCATCAAAATTTGGATACTTGGCAACTAGTTCATACTTATGACGGTTGCGGTGTCCCAGGGTCATGTGATCGTCATATGCAACCTTCTGAGAAGCAAGGTGAATGGGGAAACCCAGTTTCTCTTAACAACCATGCTACTAACTTAGTAACTGCAGTGATTCCCTTAACAACGGTGGCAAGAAAAGTCCTAAAGTGGGGCAAAACTCAAATGTCTTGCTTAGTAACAAGACATTGTTGCTTAACAAATGTCTTGCTTAGTAACAGGATTTTTGTTCTCAGTTGTGGTTGTTTGTTGAAGACTTCCTGTACTTGAGATGAGTAGTAAGGTGAGCGGGAAAAATCATCCTCAAAAAGGGGAACAAAATCCTATCAATTGAGGGCAATTGGTGCAATGAGTTAAAGGTGTGAAAAGAATGGGTTTGTAACTTCTCTGTTTTTTATACTAGGGGCCTTTGATCTAGACAACATAGGATCATTTAGTGTAAAATAATGCAATAGCTGAGGTGTAGATCGTGGATCTATACAGTTACCCTATTTTTCTTCAGCTGCAGGAAGCCTTCGGTTGGGACCCCTACATCCACATTTTAGCGAAATACCAAACCATGAGCAACATCCCAGATGACAACCGCTACAAGATGAACCTGTGGGCAGAAACCTTCTCTCAGGAAGTCAACAGAAACCTGGGACCTTTTTTCAAAACCTGGGGGTGGCCCATTGAGGACAGCATCTCCGAGAAGCTGGCCATGTCCTACCCTGCCTGGGCTGAGGATCCCATGATACAGTATCGGCACTCTTGAAGGACCAGAAGCCCAAGACCGTCCCCATCAGTGAACACTGGAATTGGGGAGATGTGTCACTCAAAACCGAGTCTGATAAGATGAGTTAACTTGGAAGGGTTTTCAGCTGCAGCGTCAAGTCTTCTTTAGCTGTTGCGTTTGGAGGATTTCAGCTCCACTATTTGGTTGCTGCCTTTTAAAAAGAAATCTTTTTCTTAGGGGAAATATTTATTCTTGCAATTTTGAGAACCGAAGATTTTAAGCCCACGTGGAAAAAACCCCCACATACACTTATTTTAATCACTCATCCAATATGGGGAAATGGGATCTGTATTGCTAGCAACATGGGGCTAAAAGTAAAGAGAACCTCATGTTTTCGTTATAACCTCTAATAATATTCTATTAAGTTTAGTTCCCAAATTTGCACTCATTAGAACTCTTTCTAATGATGCCAAACATTTGAAATGATTATTGTTAAGCTCCTTGCTGATCTAAATAATAATAGATGTAACTGTTTGATCTTTCTCGGTGGCTTGTGTCCTCCGATCTACTGGATCCTTTCTGAACTGACTGGTTTTTTGTATTCTATCATCTTTACATCTTTTTTTTTTTTGCAGTTTCTGCTTATGCTAAGTCTTCTTTAGCGGTTGCGTTTGGAGGATTTCAGCTCCACTATTTGGTTGCTGCCTTTTAAAAAGAAATATCTCTTTCTCATAGTGCCACGCAACGCTGCAGTAATAAATTGAAGCGGGCACCTTGAGTTTTCCAAGGAAAAAATAAATCCATCCAAGGCAAACTGTATTCCTATCGTGTATTTTATCTTAAACTGACCTGGTGTTCCTCTGGTTCTGGATAAATTTGTGTGCCTCATTCTTGTTAGCCGTTTCCATGCAGAGGTCCATCAACATGCAATTAGAAATCCTGATTTAGTCCTAGAAGATAACAGTGCAGATAAAGAATGCCTACTCAGCAGTTTCCAGGACCTCCATTGGCATTAAATTGGAGGCAGGAGGTGGCAGCACCGTACCAATGAATTAAACTCGCAAGCATCCTTTAAAGGTTTACTAAAGGAAGAAGAGGAAGAACAGCAGCAAAAGAACGTAAGAGAAAGATAGAATAGAGGGCAGGGAGGGAGAATGAGAGGGAGGGGACCCCCTTGCAAAGAATGACAGGATGATCTTCCTTCCTCAAATCCCATTGGTAGACTGTGGACACCCCCTCCCTCTCTCCCTCCCTCCCTCCCCAACCAAGGCAGAATTGATAGAGCCACTGTAATTTATCCACTGTAATTTATCCAATGTTTGGGGCTGGTCAACGCATCTTCTGTTAAGAGTACCATTCTTCAAAGTGTTGGAAGAAAACTCTTCATCCTGGTTCATCCAAGCTGGGAATAAACATGGCAACTGCTTTGGGAAGAAGGTTGTAGTTTATTGGAGTGGAGAGCCAGACAGGAAGATGGTTCTGGCAGCAAGAGAAGTGAAAAAAGGGCTGAGCACATGTAGGAAGTAGGTTTTTATATCCTCTGGAGCATTTTGTTTGGAGTTGTTCCTGTGGCATGAACTTTGACCTGAGTCTGAGTGTGCCTTTCTGGTATTCTGATGGTGATGGGTCAATCTTATTATGTCCAAAGGTCATATGTCCTGCTTCCCTGGGGCTGATGACTCTTAAGAGTTTGGATGGGGTATGTAGATTTTAGGTCTTTGTCTTCTTAATCTTCTAGCCTTCCTGGATTATTTACATCTGCATTTGTACAGATTTGGTTTCTGCTTGGGGGAGGGAGACTTGGGGCTATTAAGAAAACTGGGCATGCTTTCCTGCCTCTTCAAGATCCTTTGAGAAAATATATTTTCCTGCCCTTTTAATATTTCCTTCTCTGGGGGGCTGACTTCCCACAAAAGCAAAGAAGGTATGTTTGAGTCCTCAGACTCTGAATGATGTTGTTGGTTTTTTTACTATGTTTGTCAGTTAGGAAAAGAACAATTCTTTTACAGAGATGTCTCAGAACTGTAACTATAGTTTAATATAAAGTTAATATTTGAGATGAAGAACCAAGAAAGACACGCGGAGTTATTTCTAAGTCGTTTCTTTTATTATTCCTTACCTATAGACAGAAATCCAAATGAAAGCTAAACTAAACTATAATTGCCAAACTAAAGCAGCTATTTACATCACTAACGATATACTCCGAGAATTGCCAGCTGAGCTATCTAAACTTCTCTGTCTCTCGGTCCTCTGAAATGCAGCCCCTCCCTCCTGGGAATCCAGGCTACGTTCCACCGCAATGGTTACTCCTTGCAATAATCCACGCTGATAGTTCCATAGCTTCGACGTTGGCTACACTTCCATTTATTCTCATCCAAAAGAAGACAGAGACTCCAACCTTTGCTTTAAACAGCCAGTCAGTCTTTCAATGATGTTGGTTGGTCATATGAATGGACAAAACTGTTTAAACAAACCCTGCATCTATAAAGCAAGGATAAAGATAATCATAGAAAAAAGAGAAGGCAAAAAATAACAAAGGAACTTGGTGAAAAATCTGGGCCACTGGAAACTCTTCTGGAGAAGTCCTCCTAATATCCCAGAGTCTGTGGGAAAGCAAGCAATTTCCTCTCTAGGAAATGAGAGGGTTGGGGGCCATTCCTGAAAAGGCTCTGCAAAGCTGGTTTACTTCCAATGGTAGGTAGCAAACATGGTTTCCCGGAAAGTTTTGGAAACCCCTTACCAGGGTTTCTATTACACATTCAACCAGCGTAGTTAAAATTTCACTGGCTTCATTGTTAGAACAATCTAAGCCTAATTAGCTTTAAACTAGGTTAGGATTTTTTTGGTGGTTTGTTATATAAACACGGCCTATTTAGTTAATCCTAGGTTTAATGTATAAACTGAGAAAGTGGGTTAACCAGTAACACTTAAGTATGTGAAGAAATCTCATTTCAGGTCATCTGTATATGTGACACCCGTATTCTAGCTGATCCATTTCTGTTCCTGTTCTCCTTCTATAGAACGGAATTATGGAATTACATTGGATAAACATCTTCGTAGGGAGCTATCTTGTGCCTGTAGAAACATAATAAAATACAGGATTTAAAATTGCCTGACTTCAGGGTACTTGTAGTAGGCAGTTCTTGACGTACAACTAGTTGCATCATCATCATCATCATCATCATCATCATCATCATCATTATCATCATCATCATCATAAGTTGGAAGGAACCTTAGAGGTCATCTAGTCCAACCCCCTGCTCAGGCAGGAAACCCTATACCATTTCAGACAAATGGCTGTCCAGTCTCTTCTTAAAAACTTCCAGTGTTGGAGCATTCACTGCTTCTGGAGGCAGGTTGTTCCACTGATTAATTGTTCTAACTGTCAGGAAGTTTCTCTTTAGTTCTAAGTTGCTTCTCTCCTTGGTTAGTTTCCATCCGTTGCTTCTTGTCCTGCCTTCAGGTGCTTTGGAGAATAGCTTGACTCCCTCTTCTTTGGGGAGCCCCTGAGATATTGGAACACTGCTATCATGTCCCCCCTCGTCCTTCTCTTTGTTAAACTAGACATACCCAATTCCAACAACCGTTCCTTATATGTTTTAGCCTCCAGTCCCCTAATCATCTTTGTTGCTCTTCTCTGTACTCTTTCTAAAGTCTCAACATCTGGTGACCAAAACTGGATGCAGTATTCCAAGTGTGGCCTTACCAAGGCATTGTAAAGTGGTATTAACACTTCACGTGATCTTGATTCTATCCCTCTGTTAATGCAGCCCAGCACTGTGTTGGCTTTTTTGCAACTGCAGCACACGGCTGGCTCATATTTAAATGATTGTCCACTAGGACTCCGAGATCCATCTCACAATGACTGTTCAGAGTTACAACAGGCCTCCCCAGAGTTACTTATGACCCATTTCTGAAGTTACAGTGACTGTCTCCCTGTGGTCTCATGAGTGCATTTTGAGTACATGGCAACTGGCTCACCTTTACGGCCATTTCAGGGTACCATCGTCACAGGACTGCAATTTGCAACATTTTTAAAAATCAGTTTCCAGGATCTACTTCTAGTTTCCAGCAAAAAAACACCCATTGGGGAAAATCCGATTAACAATCGTAGCTTTTCTTCACAACGGCCACAAGAAATGTTGGAATCACAGGATGCTTTGATTTACAATTGTAATGACCTACGATCATAATTCCGGCCTCAATTATTGTTGTAGGTCAAGGACTACCTGTATATCATAGTCTTTCTATTGATTTGCCTAATTAGATCATAGTTCCCCAGCCTATCTTGGACTTCAGCTCTCCTGTTTCCCAGCCAAATTGATCCAAACCCCAGGAAATCTGCTAGGTCCAATTCAGCTAAGTCAGAGAAGGCCGATCCCGATTACTAATCCCTAAAATCACAGGCTTGGTACTGTGGTATATACACAGTCCCAGAAAGCGGTACATTTAACGGAATAACAGAATAACAGAGTTGGAAGGGACCTTGGAGGTCTTCTAGTCTAGCCCCCTGCTCAAGCAGGAGACCTGATACCATTTCAGACAAATGGCTCTCCAATCTCTTCTTGAAAAGCTCCAGTGTTGGAGCACCCGCCACTTCTGCAGGCAAGTCGTTCCGCTGCTTAATTGTTTTAACAGGCCGTTGATTGTGATTTGTTTGCGCAGTGCTTTGATGTACATTTGATCAGCCAAAGAGGCTCCCACGGGCTGGGCGGGGAATCGCCATGGTGGCTTGCCAAACATAAAACTAGGATCCCACATGCTCCTTTTGGAATCTGACGTTCTGCACTGTGTTCATCTTTGTGTTCAGTTTGTACACTTATACACTTGTTGTTAGTTGCGAAGTCATGTGCGACCCATGGCGACCCCATGGACCACGTTCCTCCAGGCCCTCCTGTCCTCTACCATCTTCTGGAGTCCATTGAAGCTCACGCCTACTGCTTCAGGGACTCCATCCAGCCACCTCCTTCTCTGTCGTCCCCTTCTTCTCTTGCCCTCCATCTTTCCCAGCATCAGGCTCTTCTCCAGTGAGTCCTTCCTTCTCATCAGGTGGCCAAAGGACTTGAGTTTCAACTTCAGGATCTGGCCTTCTAAAGAGCAGTCAGGGTTGATCTCCTCTAGGACTGACCGGTTTGATCGCCTTGCAGTCCAGGGGACTCGCAGGAGTCTTCTCCAGCACCAGAGTTCAAAGGCCTCCATTCTTTGGGGCTCAGCCTTTCTTATGGTCCAACTTTCACAGCCATGCATTGCAACTGGGAAAACCATGGCCTTGACCATACGCACTTTTGTTGGCAGGGTGATGTCTCTGCTTTTTAGTATGCTGTTTAGATTTGCCACTTATACACAACGGAAGACTAATCCTGCAAAGTGCTTCTAAGCCTTCCATGAGTTCATGCCAAAAAAATAGGGAACTCCCAGAGACCTTCTCCCCGTTAGGAATGATAGGAGAAATTTACCTGGGTTCCTTCCGCTGGTAAGCAACCTTTATAAAACGAAGACCATTGTCACTGCAATCATAACGAATGAAAGAGCTAAGAGAGGAGGGGAAAAAAGGAAGTCATGAATTTTGTGGTAGCTAAATGAAGCCGTCACTTCCCACTGATTCGATATCTCTATAAGGGAGTAATTGTAGTTTGGTGGTGAAGACACCAGGCTACAAACCCAGAGACTGTGAGTTCTAGTTCCGCCTTAGGCACAAAAGCCGACTGGGTGACTTTGGGCCAATCGCCAGGAGACAGTAAGTTCTAGTTCTGCCTTAAGCATGAAAGCCAGCTGGTGACTTTGGGCCAATCGCCAGGAGACGGTGAGTTCTAGTTCCGCCTTAGGCACGAAAGCTAGCTGGATGACTTTGGGCCAATCACCAGGAGACTGTGAGTTCTAGTTCCGCCTTGGGCACGAAAGCCGACTGGGTGACTTTGGGCCAATTGCCAGGAGACGGTGAGTTCTAGTTCTGCCTTGGGCATGAAAGCCGGCTGGGTGACTTTGGGCCAATCACCAGGAGACGGTGAGTTCTAGTTCTGCCTTAGGCACGAAAGCCGGCTGGGTGACTTTGGGCCAATCACCAGGAGACGGTGAGTTCTAGTTCTGCCTTGGGCATGAAAGCCGGCTGGGTGACTTTGGGCCAATCACCAGGAGACGGTGAGTTCTAGTTCCGCCTTAGGCACGAAAGCCGGCTGGGTGACTTTGGGCCAATCGCCAGGAGACATTGAGTTCTAGTTCTGCCTTAAGCATGAAAGCCAGTTGGGTGACTTTGGGCCAGTCTCTCTCTCTCTTAACCCAACCCACCTCCCAAGGTTGCTGTTGTGGGGAAAATGGGCGGAAGAAGGAGTGTTAGGGAAGATCGCTACCTTGAATTATGTATAAAAATAATAAATATGGGTTATAAACAAACAAACAAAGAAAGTTTCCCTTCCAATTTCTCTACCTCCATTCATCAGGATTAGTGTCATTTCAAAATATAGTTTTTAGTTAAGCAGATGGGGCCTAGTGGCACCTTCAATGCTAGCCTACTTTATTGGCTAGAACAGGGATCCCCAACCTTGGCAACTTTAAGACCTGTGGACTTCAACTCCCAGAATTCCCCAGCCAGCCATGCTGGCTGGGGAATTCTGGGAGCTGAAGTCCACAGGTCTTCAAGTTGCCAAAGTTTGGGACCCCCGGGCTAGAAGCCTCTGTATGAAATTGCTCACCAAAGCTGATACAGTAATTGGTGGTACCAAACTTAAGGCTAACTGTGCCACAGGTATTCTCGCTTCCCATCTCCCCACATCCCCAGCAAAATTTCTTTTCCAAACATCAGGACTAAAAGATGGTGCAAACACCTGGCACGGCCCTCTTACCTGGATTGAGGTATTGCTTCTGCGACTGTGATCGAGGGATTGCTTCGTCATTGGTGCATCGTGGATTTAAGCCGGACCAGACCGCAACGCCGCTAGAATCCTCACACCTAATAATACCAGTGATAGGAGCCCGTGCTTGAGATTCATTCAAGCATTTATAGCTTAGTTTTTGTCCCACTTTGTATTTTAACACTTTAATCGTGGCGTGCTTGTATGGGGCGGGAACTCCGCAATATCCTATGGGGAAAGAGAAAATCAGAGGACATCCTTCCCAGACATTGACAAACCTAAATTCATCAGAATTTAGCCGGTGGCTAAACACGAACAGTCACAGCAGCATCGATGTATTTACTGACTCACGGTCCTTAGAGAGATTGGTGAGGTAGTAAAATTACTCAACTGGATAATTAACGGGCTGATTTAAGGACAGCAAGATTGATTGAAGGACAATAAAACTAAGTGTAAGCTGATTGGAATCATAGAGGTTGAGCAGAATACCTCCAGTTTGTTGTGAAGACATAGCATGCTAACTCCTACTTTACAAAATGTTCTTGTTGCAGTCACCTAGCCATCACCCACATTACAGCACAATGACCTAATTCACGCAACCTGCTGAGGTGATTAATGTGTTTCCAACAACCACAAATGTCAATTCTAAGACCAGAGATGGATCTTTATTTTCTTACAGACAGAATTGTGCCAGACTAAAGTGATAACTTCTGCGAGTCCCCTGGACTGTAAGGTGATGAAACGGGTCAGTCCTAGAGGAGATCAACCCTGACTGCTCTTTAGAAGGCCGGATCCTGAAGTTGAAACTCAAGTACTTTGGCCACCTAATGAGAAGGAAGGACTCACTGGAGAAGAGCCTGATGCTGGGAAAGATGGAGGGCAAGAGAAGAAGGGGACGACATAGAATGAGGTGGCTGGATGGGGTCACTGAAGCAGTAGGCGTGAGCTTCAATGGACTCCAGAAGATGGTAGAGGACAGGAAGGCCTGGAGGAACGTGGTCCATGGGGTCGCGATGGGTCAGACATGACTTCGCAACAAAACAACAAAGTGATAACTTTCAAATTTAATAGATTACATCTTGGAGAGTCTATGTGTGGGCATCTTTTTCTCCCTTCCTCATTACCTTCCATGACTGTTGGGGTGCTGGTGCTGAGTTGGGACCCACTGGAACTCTTCTCCCATTTTTCAGTAGGAGACGGCCCTGAAGGAAGATCAACCAAGTTAGGATCAATTTTGCAGAAATTCTACTAAGGAAAACAAACATGCTAGAGAGATACAATCAGATTCCCTAGATTGTAGTTTCTGAGTTTAGATGAAGTTGGGAGGAGATAGAAAGCTTGGGTGAAGTTGGGAGGAGATAGAAAGCTTGGGTGAAGATGGGAGGAGATAGATAGCTTGGATGAAGTTGGGAGAAGATAGAAAGCTTGGGTGAAGTTGGGAGAAGATAGAAAGCTTGGGTGAAGTTAGGAGGAGATCGAAAGCTTGGGTGAAGATGGGAGGAGATAGAAAGCTTGGTGAAGATAGGAGGAGATAGAAAGCTTGGGTGAAGTTGGGAGGAGATAGAAAGCTTGGGTGAAGTTGGGAGGAGATAGAAAGCTTGGGTGAAGTTGGGAGAAGATAGAAAGCTTGGGTGAAGTTGGGAGGAGATAGAAAGCTTGGGTGAAGTTGGAAGGAGATAGAAAGCTTGGTGAAGATGGGAGGAGATCGAAAGCTTGGGTGAAGTTGGGAGGAGATAGAAAGCTTGGTGAAGATGGGAGGAGATAGAAAGCTTGGGTGAAGATGGGAGGAGATAGAAAGCTTGGGTGAAGTTGGGAGGAGATAGAAAGCTTGGGTGAAGTTGGGAGGAGATAGAAAGCTTGGGTGAAGTTGGGAGGAGATAGAA